ATAAAAGTAGTGGAAATGACAAAAAAAAGCAAAATAAGTAGCGGATTATTAAAAGTGCATTTGGACCGCCATATTCCCCACCCACTTCTTCCCGCTCTCCGGTCGATCTTTCCGACCTGCGAGAGTTCTCGCTCCGCGCTCCATCTCTGCCTCTACGTGAGAGCTACCTGCTACCCGCACCTCGCTCTCATTTCGCTCTCACCTCGTCTCCCCTCTTATCTCCCTCCCCTCCCTCTCCCTCCCCAATCCTAATTCTTAATCCCCAATTCCTCACACTCCCACTCCGTGCCCCCTCCTTCTTCGTCGTCCCGGCCCTGCTTCCTCATCTTCAACTCACCTCCGTCCTGCCGAGTACGCGCATCGCCGTTCTTAGGGTTTGATTTTTTCTTTTTATGTTTTGAGGACGAGGAGCTGTAAGTATGATTTGACGGAGAGTGGAGAGCAGAGAGCGCTCGGCGCCTTCTCGTTCATAACCTTCAATATTGATATTCTTGTTTTTAGCTTTCAATATTACTGTTGTTGTCCTCCCGTGCTGTGCCCGTGTCGTGTCGATTCTATGCCCGCGGTATGCGTTTGATGCCACGCCCGTCGATGCTGCCCGCGCTCGATGTTCGATGCTGCCCCGCGTGTTGACATTAGACGATGCACGTTCTTGAGTTCAGACGTTCCTCCATGTTGTGTGCACGCGCGCATGCTTCTCCCTCTTCCCCCACCCAGATATCTGGATATGCGATGCTGCGCCCGGCCACTCCGCGTCTCTTCCGCCCCCGCCCTCTGCGCGTGTGTTTGAAGCTCGTATTGGCACGATACTCCTCAAATATTCAGGTGCGCTCCGTTTACCTCACGTGGTGGTGAGGTCAACTTGTGCGGTTACTATGCTTTTCGTACCTTATTTCTTTAACATTTAATCACGTTTCGGTCCAAGTTTTTCTGCCAGCCGTGTTCAAAAAATTACAAGATATGCTACACTAGTACTAATACTGTTTACAGTCAGATTATTCATCTCCTCGACCCCAACCACATCAAGCGCAAGGGAGTCCCGCTATATCGAACCAACCGAGGTGGTGAAGACATGCCAAAGCCAGGGTACTAAACACAAGCCAAGCCAAACACATCGCCATGTCCACCACAAAATCGAAATCCCGATCTCTACTGCCGTGATAGACGTGGAGGGTAATATCGTCGCCGGCGAGGTAAAATTGAAGTTGATTTCCCTGGCCAGCACCACCATTGCCGCCGATTCCACCGCCCTCGCCTCCACTGCCTCCTTGGCCTCCTATAGAAAATTAGATATCTTGTCTTGGTGTTGGATTGTGACCGCACCGTGAATTATAAACCTTGTACTGCCATTTATTCTCGCTGTATTGTATGTGTCACCACCCGTGTCGACCCTCGAGGTTGCGTTGTCCCCTGTGGCCCAATGAGATCATTGTGGCAGAAAATAAGTGGGCGCAGTACCATTTATCGTCGTGTCGCGCGATGCCGTGTCCGCGCACACTGAACTGCTGGTTTGAGGAGCCGAGACGCAGCAGTCGCACAGGGGTTTGTGCTGCCCACGCAGTGTGCTGCCTTCCTCGGGAAAATTAGAACTTGCGTCGGGCGGCGCGAAGGTGTAGAGGGGGTCGTTCGCGTGTATCGGCATAGGTCTGTGCAAGAATGCTACATGTCCAATTAATATGTGCTCCGCGCGCAAGTGGCAGTGACGTACGGGCATGGTGTGCGCCCAAGCTCCGCGGCGGGTGGTCTTCATAGCCGCGCGGGGGGGAAGGCATCGGCGGCGCGGGTTGGCACGGACGGTACTCGGGCGGCGCGGACTGCGGGCGTGGAGGCGCAATGCGAGCGCGGTCGTTGCCGAGTGGGCTTTGGGGGGTGTTATCCGCTGCTGGCATTCAGTGGTGGGACAATTATTATTATTATTGAGGCACTTACGCGTCGGACGAATAGCGGGGAGGATGATTCGGTCGTTCGGGCCGCACGTCGGAAAAGGCTTGGGGGCGAGGTGGCAGCTGGAGCAGAGACAGCCGGCGGGGGGGGGATGTGGCACGGACATTATGAAACGCTGAAAGAGAATGGAGTGGCTTGGTTTTTTAAAGGAATTTTGTGCATCTCAGGCCCAGTCAGGGTTGGGCGCAAGGGACACGTAACGTCGTATACTACTGCCGCGAAGCACAGCGCTGAGCGAAGCACGCGATTACTGATTGCCGATTTGCTCCGAACAGCAATTGACCGCGTTAGGCAATTTCGCAGGAACCGATCAGGGTGAGCGTTTCGCTACTTTGCCCTACTTTGCCCCACCCGACGCCGCCCCATCGCCCCCCTCCCCCTCCCCCCCGCGCGAGCGCCACTGAGATCCCGCGTCCCACGCAGTATATCGCAAAAGGCGAAGATGTATGTAACATAGTACCGCCCGCCGCTGAGTTAATTTGGATGCACGCGAAGGCATCCCACGCATGTCGGAAAATGCATGCATGTAACATGATAACTATCTGCAGCAGAGTTAATTTGGATCCGCGCGAAGTTCCGCCACCACATTGCACTGGTTAGACCGTCAGACCGCCGGAGAACAAAGTTAAATACCAATTGAGTAATCTGCAGTGAGCACTCTCGACAAACGTTGTAATAACAAAACGCTCGTGCCTGCCTCTTCATCACACCGATTTCGGCCGAGCCGATAACGAGTGCGATAATGAACACGGAACTTAAAATGTTCTTCAATATCAACTGCCCCGAGTTGAAAGCCTAGGATTTGTTTGGTCGAAACGTTAATTCGTTTTCGGTTCCTTGAGGCCCCATTGTTGCAATAGAACATATATTTCTACGAATTATTTGGTTAAATGCATCTCTCGCGAGGTCAGCAAATGCTGCCGTAAATCGGTGATCAAAAAAAACGGTCTTGCCGCATTGGGGCATAGGGGTCCAACCCTGACTCTTTTGTCGGCCGAATAAAAACCTATTCCGCATCCTGCACCACGAGGCAAACGCTCCATTAATTACAAGTCCAATGGAGATAGCTGACTCGAGGCGTTGCGACGGAGCGATGGCAGATCAGGGAGGCATGTAGGCCACGAGGCGGGACATGGCGGGTGGCAGTTGAGGTAGCGCAGAGGCCAGAGGCTCAAGGAACGCGTAAGGAATGGGGGATTGATAACCCAAAAGCTCCAAAGCTTATTGTTATTTTTTCGAAGGAGGTAAGTTGGAGAACAGCTTCGTGCGGGGTGAGGGGGGAGTCATGTAGGACCGGTTCCGCTTCGGAGTTATCTCGGCTCGGAGTCGGAATCGGAGTCCATTTTCTGCTCCCCTCCCATGAAGATAAGCCTTTAGGTCTTCTAAGTTCGAAGTTGCTTTTTATTGCAATTTGCAAATATAATGGCACATCGTAGTTTTAAAATAGGCTTTGTGCAGGCGCCCAAGGTCGAGGGTTCGGACTGTATCATACATCACTTCAGAAGCCAACCTGGAACAGCTATATTTTATATTTTCAACTTCGTGTTGAACCCTCGGAGTTGCTGTGGGAATAGATTCAATAAAACCGGTGGCAAATTCTCCAAACGTTCGTCTGTTTGCTTTGTGCGTCGCAGACTTTTACTTCACTCAGCTTGGTGGTCAAATATCTTCCAATATCTAGTGCGAATTGGGTGAATGGGCTTCTCAGATCACACTGGCTGTTCACATCACGTTACGGTGTCATATGATGCCTAGCTTTCCTCTCGAGCTTTTCAAGACTCTCTTCCTTCCTTCCGCAAGCGCGGCAGGTTCCTGTCCTCTGGCGATAAAGTTGTTGTCCCCCAGTGGAGAATGGCACCCAATTCTACTGCGGAGTCAGTGCAGACCTCTTTGTCGACCTGGCCAAGGTGTCCGCGGCTGTGCAGATTCCACAGTGGCACAGTGGACGGCCATTTCGAATCCAACTGGTTCGCATCCAAATGTCCCCGCCGATTTCGGCATGAGCATATAATTTTCTGCTGGGGAGACGAGTTCACCGGCAAGCAAGTCGTTTGTCACGTTGATAATGACGCCGTTTACAACGCTCTAACTTCCTTCTCCCTCCGTTCGACCCCCACCATGCAACTCCTGCACCAATTCCACGCGCTCGCTTGCCGCCTAGACTTCACGTTCAGGGAGCTTGGCTCTCCTTGAAAGAGAACGCCATCGCCGACGCAGCATCCCGCTTCGCATATAAGCGGATGTTCGAACTCGCACCATACCTTAACCATCAGCCCTCATCTAAACAACTCCGTCTCGATCCCGTCTCTCAACCTGCAACTGCGTCCGCGTCTCGATTGCTCTACATCACGTTTGGGATGAACCGCAAGCCCATGCACGTCCCTGTGTCGCTTAATACACCCACTTCGCTCTGGGCGCGCGCGCCCCCATTCATTCCTGATTTTCGTATCAACAATTCCCTACCATTTTCACCCCGTTCACTCTCTCGCCCTACCAGGAGGCGAAGAAGGTTAAACCCTCTCGGGGGCCTAACCACCACGTGATGTCCAAATCGGGTAATATTTTACGTGCGTGCCCCCCGGAAGATGCCGCAGGTAACGAAGAGCAGTCCATGGAATTTCCCTAAATCACTGCAGAGGGTATTTATGGAATTTCTAGTCTAAATTAGATCTGGAAATGGCTGAATATCAAGTGGCCTCAAGTCGCACCCAAAAACTTGCCCCCAGCTCATTGTGAAAGGGGAGATTCAAACGGAGGGTGCTCAACGTATATTCAGTAGATAAAGTACTCAAAAATACGATATATTTGGTTCATTAGGCAATTTGAACATTTTTCTGAGCCTAACTTCGGCCAACTTGCATCAATTACCTTGATGCAGAGCAAAAACGGGCCGAGTATTGCCTTGTACACTCGCGGATTGTACCATATTTCTTAGTGATATCGAACTGCATCACAATTCGCTATACACATATTTTCTTTGATGTCAAGTTTTGAAAATTAGTGTTTCAATCAGACACGAAAACATACCTACACAGAGCTTGGGCGCCTACATTCATTCCCTCTTAGCTCAGTTGGTAGAGCGCGTCACTAGTATCGCACGTATCTCAGAAGTCTTTCATGACGAGTTCAGTCGTTCAAATCGGCTAGCGGGAATTTCTTTACAACACATGCTCAAAATCCCTATCGATGGCTATCGATCCAATTTTGTTGATTTTTTGAAAACAAGAAATGGTGCTTCTCAGGTACTCACCCATGCGAGGTAGCCACCCGGCGCGTAATGGTCGTTCACACAATCGTGGTCGCAGCCCGCGCGCGAGGATGTCTGTCAAGATCAAATTAGACATTCCTATTTCTGAGCTCGCTCCGCCTGTGTACACATCTTCTCAGGAAAGGAATATCACTCCCAGTATAATGGACAAGACACTCCGTCCGTCTCGAGTTCTTCCACCGACGCTTAGGTCTCTCCTGCAATATAAAATTACCGTTGATTGAAAAGGACGAGAAGGCTCGCGGGCGGAGATAAGCTCAATGGGGATGAAACCAAATCCAGGTAAACGAGAGCCGTCTCGTTAAGAGAAAGGATAATTTGATCGGCATCTTGACCAACTTTATCCGGTCACTTCTTTAGACAGCCATCGGACCTGTGTAATCCCCGAGACCTCTCAGCGATTTCTATCGGCCTTTTCATTGCGAGTTCAAGGGTTCGCCGAGTGCATCTCAAATCTAGGTACCCAATCCTGTTGCGTATTAATGGACCTGCAGGCTTACAACAATTTATTTTCTTCATGGTCGGGCAAAATTGATTTTTAGAAATGCTTACACATACCCCCCTTTGAAGTCATCCGATCTGTGGAGTGTGCATATGTAACATGTGACGCAACCCCGGTGCATAAAACAACCCGTTGGTGAAGTAAGTGATCGCTCCCCTTTTCTTCCATATCGACCAGCAACACACCCACCGCACGACCAACCGCAACCCAACCACCCAGACGGAGAGGATTAGGACTTCATCCGATAACCTTAATGAATAGTATTAGTAAGTGAATACCCTGCTGGCAGCATCGATTCGAAAGACATCGACACAGATTTCGATGCACGCTGCCACTGGCAATGCAACGTCGCTGAAACTAAAATATGCAGTCCAGCCCCGGATGAATCTTTTAGTTTCAGTGCCTTTGTGCTGAATTCCTACATTTCAGCGACGTTTTCAGCGGAGCCGAACTTCCTCATTTTCCGGTAATGAATATTTCAAAATCAGATGATGTTTCTGTTGCATACGTTGGGACTAAGGGATGATCAATGGATGAATTGTGAATGGTATGAATCCAGATATCCTCACCGACGTGACAGGCGGTATCGCATGCAAACAGTTACACGACCGCAACGCTGTTGTGTTTGCGAGCTAGTAGTCCAACTTGATGCCCATGTCCAGAGTTGCGTCTCGTTGAAATTTCCCATATCGAGAGGCAGAGAACTGACCAGGAATTCTTGTTCGACCCTTTGTTCCTTCACGAGCGGATGAGGCCTGTTATGCTTGGCAGTGTTTGGCTGTTGAAAACGCGACTATCTCAGCACGTGATCCCAGTTTTACCTCTCCCACCACTTCAGGTTTGGCCTCTGGTAAATGGGAGCCATTCCTACCATTCCCATCCCAGAAAAAATATCAAAATCCATCACCTCTGCCCCCCTCTACCTCTGGGCTTCCCTTATGGTCGATACCGCGTCTAGCGGCGATATTCAGTCTTGTGTGCTTCCACCTGCTAATATAACTTGTGCGGGGACTGAAATTAACATATGGGGGCACTGAAAATAGAACTAGGTGTGGGGAGTGAGAGTACAACTGACAATACAGTATTAAGTTGTGCTCTCACTCCCTCCCCGCACCCAGCACATGTTGATACTCATCTTCATTCCGGCATTCACATCCCAAAAAATGATCAACATCCAACACCGCCGCCCCCCTCTACCTCCAGGCTTTCCTTCTGGTCGACACCAGCGCCGGTAATCAAGTGTGCGCACCAGTGGTTCGCTCAAAATCCGACAAACTTTGATGAAAATCTGGCGATCAGAAATTAAAGTAATCGGAGATAACGGATTCTTTCGGCCTCTGCGCTTCCTCATGAACACATTTTTAAATCAGAAAGATAATCCGCAGAATGAACACATTATGCAGAGAAATCGCTGTTTCAACGAGGATGTTCAGAGTCCAGTCTATCGCATTCCAAGCAGTCTCTCGAATGAATCAGAATTGTGGAACATTTCCCTTGTAAAAAACATCCAAGTGTCTATCCAATGTATGCTCCAGGAATATGAAAAAGTCCTAGAGAAGTTGCGAGACTCGGAGAACGGCATTTTAATTTCGAGCTTTTTTGATGCATGTTCGTCTCACACATACTTTACTCATGTTGTTCAATTCTCGTCGGATTTCCTGGAAGACTATTAGATCCACCTAGTCTAATACCCTCCAGTCCGATGAGAGAATGAGGCACACTCCCAACACATAAACGGCGTCGCCACGTACCGCATCTTGATCAAATGTGCCCTGCGGCAATGCAAACCACCCCTTCCGCCTACTCCCATATTGCGGGAAGTGTCAGCGAACACAGCACCTGCAAAGCATGTACAACGTACCTCTAAAATCCCGCACCACCAACACCCCGTGCTTGCCCATGCACACAAAAGCTTCAGTGACGGCCACATGTGTCGCTTGTATCGCGGTGAGATCATGATGGGGGTGCATGTCGGAAGAAGGCAGGACAGACATCTCAAGGCGTGCATCAGGAAAATCTGAAATGCTCTGAGAGACACATAGGTGGCTATCATGGGCTCTCTGGGGCTATGGTGAGCTATGGTGAGCTATATAACTGACCTGATTGGCTATATGATGCTATGGTGAGCTATGGTGAGCTATATAACTGACCTGATTGGCTATATGATGCTATAGTGAGCTATGATGGTCTATAGAGCTGAACAAATTGACTCTATGGTGCTATGGTCATCTATAAGATTTCACTAGTATAAATAGCAGAAAGTTAGGTAACACAATGGCAAGTAAACTTATGGCTGTCACGAATGGTTATCTGGATCAGATCTTCCTTGCTACCAGATGGAACCTTCTGGGAATTCATTTTATGGTTTGCAGCAGGACAAACCCCTTAGGCAAAATCTGTCCCTTGACAACTTTTGTTGAGCATTTCAAGCTCTACAATTTTGGTTTGGGGTTTATTTTTAGCTACTCGCAAAGTTATGGCCTAGCCACTACTTCACATTATATGTAGTAAGTTACCACAAAGTGAAGGCAAAGACAGAGGGAGGTGGTAGGTCAGTGCTGACCCTACTAATATAACTTTGATTCTACATATCTCAATGTCTCCTTAGTCTTGGTTATTTTGTCGCTTCTCAAATTTTAGCTGTACGCGCGAGGTCCTGAGTTCAACTCCCCAAGGTGGTCGCATTTAAAAATACTTACCCTTGCTTAATGTTAATTACCTTCTCTGTAACCTTGACTTCGCATCCCATTATCCTAGTAATGCAACAAGAGAACAATGCATTATGACCTTACATTACAATTGAAACATCCCAACTTTTTTTTTGTGCTCTGACCGTGACCACTATCATAGAAAACACTGTGACTATGGTGAGCTATGGTGGGCTATGAAATTCAGTCCAGGGTCCCACATTTCTCTGAGGTAGGTCAGTTTGCTATATCAGCTATGGCCACTATATAGGGCTCTGGTGCACTATATGGTGCTATGGGGCAACTTTGGATTTTCCTGATGTGCCAGGGCGGGAAGATGCAGCTCTGCCAACCGCGTGTCGATCCGTTTGAGCGTGTCCATGTGGAGTGCAAGGGAAGGCGTTAACGTGCCGCTGGCTGGCGAGGACGAGCATCTGCAGGCGGTCTATGACACGGGGGAGAGATGCAAGCGCGGCCTTGATCTCGTGTGGGTGGCCGATGAGGCGTAGCTTTGTGAGCGCAGGGAAGGAGGCGAGGGAGATTCACACAGTGACGTCGTCAGTGAAATTTGGATTAGCATTGTGAGAGAACAGATACAAAAGGTACACACGTGCATGGAGATGAACCACTTCAATTCCGGGCACAGCCTCAAGGACCTTGATGGGGGCAGGCGAGGCTGCCTCGTAGAATTCAACGTGCTGCAGTTGGCTAGTTCGGGTGGGGCATTGCGGGTCAAGAAACCAGGCCGAAACCTCAGGTGAAGACCGCAGGAGCCTGAGGCCCGTGATCTCCGTTTGCGGGCATGGTTCCTCCGCTGGAGGCTCTGCATTCCCCGAGCCAGAAAATAAGGTAAACTAGCGGAGGTCTAGGTTCTGGAGGCTGGGGGTGCAGCACGCAAAGAGGAGGTTCAGGCCCACGCAGCTGGGAAAGCCGGCATCAATGACGAGCGTATGCAGTGACGGGAGGACGAGGAGATCCCGCGCGACGCTGAGAGCAGGGATACCAATGGAGCCGGGTGACATGTTCAGGAGGGTGAGATGGTTTAGGTGTGTGAGGTGCATGTTTGTAAGTTGGGTGAGGTAGGTAGGTAGGTAGGTAGGATTACACGGCCGGTCCCGCTTAGGAACGCCGGGGCCCAGGAAATATCAAAGTATACAGGCACTTTGTATACTATTGTCCCTGGACTCCTCCACACCCTCGTAGCCAAGCTCACGATCTCAATCTTTCGACCCGCCGCGGTAGAACTAAAAGGAATATAGAGAAGTAAATTAGCACGGGAATTAGCGACCTCCAATCAGACATTTCACAAACGAAACACAGGGAGGCTGTAGAAAACTTGAAGAACATCATGAGCAAACTTAGCCAATAGCGCGATATTGGGTCGAGAGTATAACACGGCTTTAAGGAACTCTGTGTTAGAGAGTTCTGCCATGCAGCATTGGAGATCTGGCGAGTTAGAGAATAATTTTTCCAGGAATGTGGAGCGCAGTGCAACCAGTGCGTCTGATGACTTGCAGGTAATTAGCGCATGTTCCGGAGTTTCTACCATCTCTTTGCAGAATCTACAGAGCCTATCTGACCGAGGCACCGGTTGGTGTTCATGATCCACATAGCGTAGGACTTCCACAGCAAGTTGATGGGTCGAGAGCAGCAGGGAGGTCAGGGCCTCGCGATGCGTCTGAGTATTTACCATCGT